TTTTTTTTCTATTTCACTTTTAAATTTTAGATCATGTTTATATAGATTAAAATAGATTGTAACTGTAATAATAGATTGTAATAATATTATCATTTTATCTGATAGATTTACCGTGTCTAAATAAAAATAAAGTTCAAGTTCAAGTTCAAGTTCAAGGAATTGTATCATTTTCTAGGTGGAATAGTAGCGGTTAAGATGGCTTATTCCTCACTCAAAAAGCATTACCATACAAAATCATGTTTCACCCTTTTTAAACCGCTAGGAGTGACTAGTAGACTGCAGACTGTACTTATTAAGAAAAACATTGCAGTTAAAAAACTGAATTGCGTCTCTTTTCAAGTAAGATATAAGAAATGATCCATAACTACTGCTATAATAAATAACATGTCTAAAAATTTGCGTTTTGTCCAACCGAGCATGTTCAACTCTTATTTAACCTTTACTTTCGTTTTATTTACCAGGAAGTGAAAACAATTCCGAATAATTACGAAGCGTGGTTTGATTAACTTCGTCTGAAGGACAGCGAGGCAGATCCCGATGCAGTGAGAGAAGTTTACGAAAGAGCTATCTCCAGTATTCCACCCGCCGAGGAAAAGCGTTTATGGAGACGATACATTTCCCTGTGGATCAACTATGCGCTGTTTGAAGAACTTCTGGACAAGGTAAGTTCTTTTTTTTTGCTGCTGTCGGCCTGCGCAGATGTAGGTTAAGCCAGGAAAAGAGACTGACTCGCAGAACTTGTTGAGCTTAACCACGGTTCTCCGACAGATGTAGTCTAAAGTTTTCATAAAGAGACTGACTTGCATAACTTGTTAAGCTTAACCACGGTTCTGCGACAGATGTAGGTAAAGTTTTCATAAAGAGACTGACTTGCATAACTTGTTAAACTTAACCCGGACTTTGCTACGTATAGGGAGTAGTGAGTTGTTTAATTATTTTTCCGGGGTTTACCTTGAGCCGGTTCGATTTTGCAAATTTACATTCCAACACTTTTTGTAACTGATGATATATGAGTTGCACAGGGCAAACTCAGTCATCTGCGACACTGCCTCAATTGTAAACAAGGGAGGGATATATTACATTCTTTTCATGATAGCGAGAGTGAGAAACTCACTACGAATAATGTTAAGTGATTCCCTTTGTCTGTATTCGGCAAAGCCTCGTTGTGAAGTTGACTTTTGACAGATCGAAAATAGTTTAACAAGCAGGGCCAACTCGAGAGAAACATCCGATTATACAATTATTATACAAACCACGTTATCTTGACTTTTTCGAAAGTAGTTTTTCCGGTTTTTAGTTGTTCCCGCTCCACTTCCAGTTTGCAGACAAGAAGTTAGTATGATGGTGAAATTTCAGAAAATAAAATTCGGCGAAACTTTAAGCAAATCACTAGTGGGACTTAACTATGAAGTCTATAAGGCGAGAAAAAACCTGAAGGATCATTTTCATTCTTTTGATGGATACGTGCAAGTTTATCTTTTAGTGGCTACTTTCGTTCTCCATGTCGGTTGCTACCGGTTCTAGATAAACATTGATTCATTGATTCTTTTTTTTTTCACAGGTTTCTTGTTCTCTCTTTTGGATTTGAATTTATAGATAGAAACTAGATGGGATGAAGAGTGTTTCCATCGGCTCTGGTTTCCGCTGGTGGATTTTAATAGCAGAATCATAGTAACGGAGAGAGATGTTGTCGACCAAGAGGCAACGCTGTGATAGTATTTACGATGGAAGATCTTTTAAAATCCAACAACTTTCAAACTATTGTAAACATGCACACGGCGAGAAGAGGGTTGAGGACTTGAGGACATCCGAAGAACAGCTTTTGCTAAAAAAAAGTTCGCCAAAATGGTTACTAAGTTATTAGTAACCGTTAGTCAAGAGAGGCGGCTGGTACATCAAAGCGTGTACATTTGTAATGTCCTGGACTGCTTTAGTCTGAGATTGAAGACCTATAGTGCTATATTTCATGGGATCAGTCTAGAGTCAATATCTTTACACTACTGTAAGCACGATGTCCTGGCCTACAACGGTCTAATGGGCCCCCTCTTGATTATAAACCCCTCCT